ACACTCCCCCCCCAGCTTGGTGTCATCTGCAAATTCACTTGGAAATACGTGGGCAGAGAGGGCAGTGTGCCAGGGTACCTTGAAGGCGATGGTCTCGTAGGGCTCGGCTGCCATGAGCAGGTACTGCCAGCGCCGGTCGGGGGGCTCGATGCGCTGCTCGTAGGCCGACATGAACCGGTGCCGGGGCATGATGCTCTCGGCAATCTCGGGGTAATCGATCTGGGGGGACAGGGCACTGTGAGAAACATCCCCCTGCCACCCCCAGCACCAAACACAGCCCTCGAGGTGGGCATGTGGAGAGTAGTTCCCAAGAAACACCGCAGGGAACAGGCTGGGATCCCGGCATGTTCGGGTTGGGAGGGACTGTAAACAACTCAAATGGAAAGAGGGGAAATGAAGAGGAAATTGTTCCCTGTGAGGGTCTGGCAGAGGTCACCCAGAGAAACTGTGGCTGCCCCAGCCCTGGAAGTGTCCAAGGCCAGGCTGGACAGAGCTTGGAGCAGCCTGGGACAGTGAAAGGTGTCCCTGCCCATGATCAGAGAATCACGGCTGGGTTAGTAAGGGCCATTCAGTGGGAACTGATTGCCACCCCATCCCTGGAAGTGTCCAAGGCCAGGTTGGAGCCAGGAATAACCTGACCTAATGGAAGGTGGCTCTGCCCATGACAGGGGTTGGAACTGGATGATCTTTAAAGCCCCTTCCAACCCAAACCATTCCCTGATTCTGTGATCATCTCGTTCCAACTCCTGCCCCTTCCACTACCCAGCTTGACAGCTGTGCTCGGGGATTTGTTCAACACAGTCAGCTGTAAAAACTAGGAAGGTAAGGACTTTTATGATTATTATTTATTTCACGGATCCAGCAAGGATCTGCTCACTCAGCAGCAGTTTTACTTGGATAACTCTGACACTGAGAATTTTCACCCTGCCCTTACCTGGAAGAGAAGGCTCTGCTGGCCTGTTTCAGGGTCTCTCTGTTTGGTCACTGTAAGGAAAATAGGGAAGCTGAGAACATCCCACAGCAGGGTTGGAGCAGCATTATTCTGCCCCAGGAAGCATAAAGTTTCCAACAACAAAACATTACAAGATTTTTCTCCCATTTATCAAACAAAATGTCACATTTTCTTTATCCAAAGCTACAGCTGTGAGGGTGGGGAGGCCCTGGCACAGGTTGCCCAGAGCAGCTGTGGCTGCCCCTGGATCCCTGGAAGTGTCCAAGGCCAGGCTGGACAGGGCTGGGAGCAACCTGGGCTGGTGGAAGGTGTCCCTGCCCATGGCAGGGGGTTGGAATGGGATGGGCATTAAGGTCCCTTCCAAACCAAACCATCCTGGGATCCTGTGATGCTACTGTATCCAGCTTTGGGGGCCTCATGACAAGAAGGATAGTGAGGGGCTGGAGCGTGTGCAGGGAAGGGAACGGAGCTGGGGAAGGGGCTGGAGCAGCAGGAGCAGCTGAGGGAGCTGGGGGGGCTCAGCCTGGAGCAAAGGAGGCTCAGGGGGGACCTTCTGGCTCTGCAACCCCCTGACAGGAGGGGGGAGCTGGACGGGGTTGGCTCTGCTGCCAGGGAACAAGGGACAGGAGGAGAGGGAATGGCCCCAAGTTGTCCCAGGAGAAGTTTAGGTTGGATACAGGCAATTCAAACAATAAAGTATCCCAGGAGAGAGCCCAGCTCTCATTCATGGGCAGAGCTGCTAAAAAGGCTAATTAACAATTCACATCCCAGCACTGCAGGTGCTGCCCACGGGCACCTCCCGGGCACCCCCCGACCCACCTTTGTAACCTGGGCGCCCAATTTTCACAAATTTCTTCACTTCCACTTTGACCTTCTCTGGGGCAGGTTGGGCAGGGGCTTCCTTGGCTTCCTTGGCAGCTCGCCGGGCCCTGGGCAGGAATTTCAAAATGGAAGGGTTATTACCTGCACTTGCTTCCAAAGGAATCATGCCTGGAAAACCTACTTCCCTTCCCCAGTGTATCCATCCTTCCCCTCCCCAAAGGCTGTCACTCAATTCCCCACCCCGAGATGATCTTGGTGCATTTGAGAAGACTTAATTCTTGACATTAAAGAGAACAAACCCCACAGCTAAAGCAAAGTAAACTGGATTCCTTAAAATAAAACTTATAAACTTCTCCCAACCTGTACTGACAAATGCAGATCACAGAATCCTGGAATATCCCGAGTTGGAAGGGAGCCACAGGGATCATCCAGTCCAACCCCTGGCCCTGCACAGGCACCCCAACAATCCCACCCTGTCCCTCAGAGCGTTGTCCAAACGCCCCCTGAGCTCTGGCAGGCAGAGCTCTTTTTACTAGACTCAGAAAATTTGCTTTTAAAACTCTTTCTCCCTTTTCCTTCAGAAATTCCACAACTGGGTTTGAACTTTTGAGCTTGAAATTGAGATTTTCAGCCTCATTTTTGGAGCAGATCCAGGCTGAACCTCCTGGCTGGTGCCAGGCTGCTCAGCAGGAATCACAGAACATTCAGGACCTGTGTGCTGTTGTGTAACACAGTTAAGGGTTGACAGATGAACACAATCATCATTTTAATGGGGTTAAAGGTTCATAGATGAACACAATCATCATTTTAAAGTGCTCCAGTAATGAATAAAGTTATGGTAGAGAATGACTTACAAATTGGTCTGATGCTTCTTCCCCTGTGTATGTGCTAAGTAACTCCCCTGAAATAAAAACCAAGGTAGAAGAAAGTTAAATGAAGGCAGGACTGAAAGATTCTTGTCTCAGAGAGGCTGTGTCTCACACTGACAAGGGTGTTTGCACCCTCAGCACAGAGGATTCTCACTGAGAGCACACTGCTCTCAACTGCTCAGCTGTCAGGTTTAACACACGAGGCTCTGCCCACCCCTCATCTCTCAGCAGTCACAGCCCAGGTTCTGGCACCTGAAGGTACTGTTATCCCAAAATTCCTGCTGCTGGGATCAGGCCAGGCAGGTGCTCCCTCACCTCGTTGTTATGCAGTGTCAGGCAGAGCTTGCACTCGTAGGAGCCCAAGTGATTTTTCATAAAATAGGGGTCCTGGGAAGAGAATGATTGACAAGTTACAAGGAAAATCCATGGCAAAGCAACAGGATAACCAAAATACTGCAGAGTTCTGCACAGGAAGAACTGGTCAGGTGCTGCCCAGGCTCCCCAGGGCAGTGGGCACGGCCCCAAGGCTGCCAGAGCTCCAGGAGGGTTTGGACAACGCTCTGAGGGACGGGGGGGATTGTTGGGGTGTCTGTGCAGGGCCAGGGGTTGGACTGGTGATCCTCGTGGGTCCCTTCCAACTCCGGTTATTTTATGGTTCTATGATTCCAGAACTGAGTTCAGAATTTAAATCAACACAACAGAGCTTTAGGATGATGGAAACAGAGAGACTCAACAGCAGCTCTGGGCACCAGTGCCAGAGTTCCCAACTGCACCGAGAAATGGCAAAGTACAAACTGGTCCTGAGGAGACAGGAAATAACTTGAATACAAAGTGCTGGCACCTCCCTGTCAGCCCCATCCCAAACGTTCCTCATTCAAACCCCACATTCCCAGAGACACAAGTATTTAAACTCCATCCACCACTCAGAGAAGAGAAGGCTCCAGGGAGACCTAGGAGCCCCTTCCAGGGCCTAAAGAGGCTCCAGGAGAGCTGGAGAGGGATTTGGGACAAGGGATGAAGGGACAGGACAAGGGGAATGGCTTCCCAGTGCCAGAGGGCAGGGTGAGATGGGATATTGGGAAGGAATTCTTGGTTGTGAGGGTGGGGAGGCCCTGGCACAGGTTGCCCAGAGCAGCTGTGGCTGCCCCATCCCTGGGAGTGTCCAAGGCCAGGTTGGAGGGGGCTTGGAGCACCCTGGGCTGGTGGCAGGGGTGTCCCCACCTTGTTGATGTCGATGGTCTCCAGGGCCAGCTGCCGCAGCCGCTCCCGCCGGTCCCGGTTGCTCTCCGAGGCCGAGGCGACGCCGCCGCTGCCCGTCTTCCCTCCAGGGCGGTGCTGGAAATCCATGGTGGGGAATTCTGGGCTTCAGCCCCCTCTGGAGAAAGAGAGAGTCTGCACAAAAGGAGGAGAAGCATTGTGAGTGGTAACTGGACCTGAGGTCACAGAGTGTTCAGCCCCGTCAGTGAGGACACGGGATGAGAACCCCAAAGATGCCCTGGGAACATGCTATGGGATGAGATTCCACATGGAGAGGGTCTGGCACCACCCACTCAGGAAACACAAGTAAAATGATCCAGAAAAACAACCCCCAGAGCCCTTTCCATCTCCTCAGACACTTCCACACACAGACACATCCCCCCAAAAAGGAGCCTCCCACCCTCACCTGATGGCACAAACAGCCCCAGAACCTCCCCCCTCTCTACCAAGGTTTGGGGCTCCTCCACCAGCCCCCCAAAGCTCCAGAGCCTCCCCCACACAGCAAAAACCCCCTGAGAGGGTCAGAGCCCCCCACGTCCCCCAGCAGGGTCACGGACTCTGTGCAGTGTCCCCAACCCCCAGGTGAGGTCCTGGAGTGCCCCCTGCCCTCAGTAAGGCCAGAGCCCCCCCCACACCTCCCACACCACAGAGTGGTCTGCTCAAACACCCCCAGTGCCCTCAGCAGGGCCAAAGCCCCCCAAACATGCCCAGCCCCTCAGCAAGGGTCAAATCCTTCCCATCAGACACCCCTCAGCCCCTCAGGAAGGATCGGTCTCCCCTCACACACCTCCTGCCCCTCAGCAATGGTCAAAGCCCCCCATCAAGCACCCCCCAACACCCCAACAAGGGTCAAAGGACCCCTCAAACACACCCCAGCAAACATCAAAGCGCCAAAAACACCTCAGTCCCCTAGAAACAGTGAAAACCTCCCCTCAAAACACTCTCAGGCCCTCAGTGAGGATCAAGGCCCCCAAACATCCCCAGCAAGGGTCAACCCCATAAACGTGCCCCCCAACACCTCAGCAGCTGTTAAAGGCACCCTCAAACACTCCCCAATGCCTCAGCAAGGGCGAAAGCCCCCCCAGATACCCACCAACTCCTCAGCGAGGATCAAGCCCCCTCAAGCACCCCCAGTAAGGGTCAAACCCACCCCTCAAACACCTCCCAACACCTCCCCAAGGGTCACTTCCC